AAACAAAATGGGGCTTTTGGGAGCCTTCTGGAGGCTTATCCAAGCTTCCACTGACAAAGAAAAAAAACTTGGTTGGGACAATGCCATGTGGTAAGCAAAATTGGGATAATTGAGTTATGGTCATTCAACTTCTACTAAGTTTTACTTAAAACCCTCAAACTTTAAATTCAATCAATTTAATCCCTAAAACTATAAACTAAAGGACACTAATTTTTAAATTATTCACTAAGGTATGTGGGATGTTACAATAGCCATCCCATCTGATCGTGGGGTTGCAACTGTTATCTGCCTCACGCTAATCGTACCGAGTTACGCTGATTCTTTGTCCATTTCCGGGAGCTAGTGAAATAGAATATGTAGAAATCCGACCCTTTATCCATTACCGAGAGCCGTTGAAATGAAGATACGTAGAAATGTGTAGCCTATTGCCCATTGCTAAAGGCTAAATGCGATAGTAAATCTAACCCTTTGTATAACACACCTCCCTAGGCACTCTTAGTCCTAGGAGAGTTCGGAAACAAAATTTATAGTAAAGAATTGCAGCGGAAGTAAAAACACTTATGATATAAAATATTTCTTCAAAAGAAAACCTGTATTCAGAAAATTAATTTTTATAAAAAAGAATATCATATATATATTAGAAAATGCCAAAATATTCAAAGTTATAAGATAAACTGAGCTAAGCTCATTTATAATTAATTTAAAGGTTTTATACATAAAGCTAATTTACACAAAAATTATATGAGGCAAATTCTTCTTCAAAGCTTTTCAAAAAAACAAAAGCTGAGTCATTGTTTTGGTAACACATCGATCTGCCTCCTTATCAAAAACATGAGACCCTAGCTTGTACATACAACGAGCATGCGAGTCCCGTGCCAAAAGCTCCTAAACCGAGAGGCTGCTACCTCGATCTACTGATCTGAAATGGGGGGGATTTTATGAGCTCACAGCCCAGTAAGTAACAAGTTTAAGCTATAAACTTGGGTCCTAAGACCCTTAGACCTATCCACACAAAGAGCATAAGACACAACGGAATCAAATCACATAATGTTTTAATCCTCACTATTTAAATAATGACTTAATCTCTCAAATCATAAACACAAATGTCACAAGCGCAATGCATAAAATCGAAAATCACACAATGCTATAGAGTCCACTAAGGTGTGCTAGCAACACTGTACCGGAGCTAATCACAGTACTAACCTTACTGCGCAGAGGTCCACTAAATACCCCGAAGGGTCCACTGAATACCCCAAGTTTTAAGCTTAGGTCCACTTACTCCATAGCCACAAACACATACGCATGTCAAACAAATTCATAATATGTCCAAAATAATATTAGGACTTCCTATTGAAAGAGATCAAAGCATAATGCGTGAACAGTAATTCGCAAATAGTACAATTTACTTATAATTCCTACAGCCAAAATTCACACCCAAATCAAACAATAAAAAGGACTAACTCACTATCTTTCCCATATAAGCCCCAAAATTAAGGATATTTCTAATAAAAGTTTAATACCCAAAAATCTTATAAACCAAAGAATTAAAGTCAAATCTCACCAATTTAAACTACCCATAACTCTAACCCAAAATTCATAACTAAAACTTATACTTACCTAACAAAAGCACCTTAACTTTGGTTGGAGAAGGAAGGAAGCAAAGGATGTAGGTGGAAGAGGAAGGCATAGGAAAAACAAAATGGGGCTTTTGGGAGCCTTCTTGAGGCTTATCCAAGCTTCCACCGACAAAGAAAAAAAACTTGGTTGGGAAAATGCCATGTGTTAAGCAAAATTGGGATAATTGAGTTATGATCATTCAGCTTCTACTAAGTTTTACTTAAAACCCCTAAACTTTAAATTCCATCAATTTAATCCCTAAAACTATAAACTAAAGGACACTAATTTTTAAATTATTCACTAAGGTATGTGGGGTGTTACACTTTGTCCATCGCTAGGAGTTGTGTAGATATAATAAGATCAGCCTGTTATCCGTTGATGGGAGCCATGCAGCAAAATAGGCTCTCCATCCATTGTTGGGAGCCAAAATATGTAGCAGTAAACATTGCTGCAAAGGACATGGCCGTAAAAAATGCCCAGCCATGTTGCGTAGATAATGTGGCCGTGTCTGGCCATGTGTAAGGGAATGCTGTTGAAGTAAAACATGTTTGTATCATTCCCAGCGAAGTGGGTAAATGCCACTCCTGGCAATATATAAGAGAATAATGTTGAGCGCTGCTTCTGACGATGTCGACTCCACTGCAGTAATTAATGAAAAACAGGAACTGCATGTCCAGTGTGGGAAGTGAGCGTTGTGGACCCTTGCTGATGTGGATCCGCACATGTTATGGGTGATGTAACCATATAAACTCATCCCTCAACAAAAGTTTATGTAGCTTCATTGTCCCTCATATTATTTTTCATGTGTTAGTTGCCTTTTGGCATGGGAATGCATTTCACCTTCAAAGTATTTGGTTTGCCTATCCTTCCTTTCTATAAGTAGTGTTGTTAAAGGTGGCACCTAGGCCCTATGAACTGCTTAGGTGCAGGGCAGTAATCCACTGCTCACCCTAGCTTGAGGCGGCAAAGTCCTCGGGCAATGTTTTTCTTCTTCAAAAATACTTCTTTTGGTTTCATTGAAGCCAAAGAACGTCATTTTGTTTAGAATCTTAAAAAACGAAAATAAAAGCAGAAAGGAAAGCTTACCTAATCATATCACCGTTTCAGCTTCTTTTGAACTTGCTCTTCTACCTTTGCTTTTAGCTTGATCCTCTCTTTCTTGACTCTCTCTTTCTTCTTACCATTAGTGTGTTGGGTACTGGAGATGGGTAAAACAGGAGCCTAGAAGGTCATTGTGGTTACTGTGGTTAAATTTGGAAAATTATTATTTAGCTAAAAAGGAGGGAGAAATTAGGTTTAACATGGAGATTTAAGAAATCTTACAATAATTACAGAAAATTGGAAAATCTCTAATTGGTGTCAAGATAAAAATCTCAATTTGAACTTTTCTCTTCTATCTCAATCTGCTATGAAAGTGAGGATAATATCTCAATCTGAATTTTTGTTTGCCCTAATTATTAGTTACCTATAGCCTTTGCCTTCCAATTTTCTACAAGTTTTAAGTGAATGCAGCATGATTTGCTTTTTTTTTTTCAACATGACTAAGAAAAATATTCAATTTGTTTTTCATTTTTCATTTTTTGGTCATTTTCCTACATTTTCGGTTTTTTTTTTTTGTCTTTTTTTTTTTTTGGAAAAGAGGAAAGGACTTTGTTGCCCTCTGAAAAGATATTTACCAATAATTCTAAAATTGCTTCAATTCTTCTCCCACCTAATTCATAAAGAATTTTAATGTTCATTAGTTGTACAATAAAAAATAACTAAGAGAAATTCTAACAATTGAGATATATCATATTTTATCTCTTTCAAAACAGATAAAACTCAATAGCTTTCTTGTTTGCATTACTCAACCTAACCCTAATAGGTTCATTTGATTCATCATTGACTTTATAAACACATCCAATGTCATGTAGCATTTCCTATATTCCTTCAAATTCATACAAATCATAATCACCCCCTACATTAGATTCAGAAAATGACTCACTATGATGATTGTAATAACCCAAATAACTTTCCATGGTCCTTGACTTTATAAACACATCCAATGTCATACAGCATTTCCTGTATTTCTCTAGATTCATACAAATCATAATCATCCTCCACATTAAATTCATAAAATGACTCACCATGATGATGGTAATAACCTAAATAATTTTTCAAATATTCTAGCATCACCGTAATTAAATGGGTTAAAATCTAGTTATAAGTGGATATAATGTTAGATTTAAGAAATTATAATTTATTCAAAATCTAAATCTAATTAAATTAAATTTATGTAAGGATTAAATTGGATTTAATACTAATCAAGCCTTTTAATTCAAGATTATTTCCTTCCTTACTAAATAATAGTAATGAATGACAAACTCTA